GCCTTCGGCTCAGGTCATGATCCTGGAGTCCTGGGATCGAGTCCCGCATCGGGCTCCCTGCTCGGCGGGGAGTCTGCTTCTCCCTCTCACCCTCCCCCCTCTTGTGCTCTCTCTCCCATTCTCTCTCTCAAATGAATAAATAAAATCTTTAAAAAAAAATTTTTTTTTAAGAAATAAGAAAATCGATGTAGAAAGATAAAGTAACTAAGCCTGATCCAAGACTGTGCAACCACTACCCGATGGTAAAGCCACCCTTGTTTCTGGCCAGAACTGATTCCAAAATAAATGCTCTTCAACACCACCCTGTCAGGAAAGGAAAAGGAAGATAGGAATGGCAGAAGGGGAGGGAAAGATGCTTCTGAATAAGGAGGCAGATTCGGTCATATCTATTTTTAAGAAGTTTAAAATAAATGATATTTTATTTTGTAACAAGTTACATTGGACAATAGGTCAAAGTATGTGACAATAAAGTTAGTAAACCTTTTCTTACTTCACCAACAATACCAACAATGGCCTTCAAAGCTGTAGGAGACTTTGTCTTCTTCCAGTTTTGTTGAGGTCTGGTTGACGTACACTGTATATAAATTTATGGTGTAGAGCATCATGACTTCATATTTTGCAAAAATATGCAAAAAAAATCTGCATATATTGCAAAATGATTCCCGCAGGAAGTGTAATTAACATCCACCCCGTTATGTAGGTACCAGAAACAATTGTTTCCTTGGGATGAGACCTTTTAGGATTTACTCTTCAGCAACTTTGAAATATACGCGAGAGCAGGGTTGACCATAGCCATCCTGTTACATCGCAGCACATATTTATCTTGTATGAGGACTAAAGGTATGAGACTTTGGGGATGATCTGATGGAGGAGGAAAGTGATGTCTAAAGAAGGGAAGCAGTTTTCCTCCGATGTGTTCACTTATCCAGCCTTGCTCTGTGGAAGACAGGAAGGAGGCCAGCTGAAACCTAGTCCCTGCTTCACCAGACATTTTTTTGAAAAACCAAAGAAGGGGGAGGTCATTTCACTGAGGGGCCTGGCAGAGGACTTCCCAGAGGGGCCAAGCCTCATGCCATGAGGCCTTCACCAGGCTGTCGAGGGAGGAGAGGATTTCCAGGCCGGGTGAGCGGCCTGGCCCATCATCAGGGCCTAACCGCATCTCTGTCCTGGAACCACATACTCCATATTGCTGGAGGGGCAATGGACAAAGAAGCAAGGCAGGAGGGAACCAGAAAGGAAGGCACGGCCATCGGCGTTCTGGCACGAGCTCCGGGGTCTCCGCCAGGGTAGCGCGAGCTCTGAGTCCCGGTCCCCGCTTCACCCTCTGTTACTGCTTGGGCGACCTCCCCAGCCCTGGGGGCCCCCCGTGTCGAACTGAGATCATGAATAATGGCAGTATTTATCCTCTAGGGCTTTTCCAGGGATTGAACGAGACATGACATACAGATAAGAAGAAGAGGACCTGGTACCTAATACATCTCCCATCTGTATGAGTTGCCATTAATTTATCATCACACAAAGCAATTTGTACTTTTCCCTTTGGGCAGTGGGGGCCCCTGACAGGTTTCAAGCAGGTGATCAGATTTGCATCTCAGCTCAACAGGCTGCAGGATGGGGATGAATCCCTGGCGCTGGGCCAAGGGAGGCCAGCAGGGAGGTGCAGGCTGGAGGTGGAGTAGAGGCTGGCCCAGAGAAGGGGGTGGGGGCCTGTCTGGAGCCACAGGGATGCAGCAGACAGAGAGTGCGAGGGACATGCCAGGGGTGGGGAGCCTCGGGGCAGGGGGCCCAGACGTTATTGCCAGGGTTCCAGTTGAAGGGACTGGGCCGGTGAGATGCCTCCACTGAGAAGAGTAGCAGCTTGTGTGTGGAGCGGGGCGGTGGGGAGAGACTTTGCTGAGTCTGGAGCCCAGGAAAGAGGTTGGGCTGGAGACAGAGACTTCAGGGTCATTGGCCTGGGTCCACTCAGGACCTAGATGGCCGGCCCCTGGAACAACTCACATGCTACTGCATCCTGAGTGGACCCAGGCCAATGACCCTGAAGTCTCTGTCTCCAGCGTTGCCAACCTCTTTCCTGGGCTCCAGACTCAGGATGCAGTAGCATGTGAGCTCCTGAGCAAATTGATGCCTCTTTACTTCAGAGCTTCTCCTTTACTTCGGACGCTGTATCATTTCTACCGTGCGTTTCCCAAGACCCAGGAAGTCAGCCATTAGGAAATGGTAAAAATGAATGCAATTTGACTCAAACATCAGGGAAATGCCCCCCGCTGCCTGCATTTCTGATATCCTAGTTTCTTTTATGTAAAATTCCCCGGGCAAAGAGCACGGATTCAACAGAGAGCTGGCAGAAAGTGGAGTCATGATTCCAGGGAAGCCTGGCTCTGTCCACACCACTGTTCTGGAAGCTGTGCTCTTGGCACATCGATTCTGTCCAGAGAACATGATCTCTTATTCTGCACTTGCTCTTCCAGCTTAATCAAGGCTCCCTGGAGCCAGGAGGGCCCCTGGCAGTCACAGACACCTTCCCTCGGCCCAAAACAGGCACTTCGGCCAGGACAGGGCTCCTTTCAAAGCTGTGTCAGTCAGCCCATCTTGCTAGATGTTTCTGTGCCTCTCCCATGTGAGGCTTTGCCTTTTCATGGTGGTTCATGGTAAGGAAGCACCAGCCTGCTGGCCGGGTGGGAGCCCATTCCTCCTTACAGGGAAGCACCTTGATGGGGTTTGTCTGGTTCAGGTTGTTCTGGACCTCTGTCTCTAGTTATGTCGACACAGAAACCAAAATGATGATTTCTGGGCATCCATGCCCCAGGCAACGCTTGGCAGTGGACCCACCTGGGGGGACATCGTGTGTCGGCCAGGCCAGGGTGGCACCTACAGCCCTCTCCTCAGTGCTCACTGAGACCCCTCCCCTC